GAGTATGTTGGGGAAGCATATACTTTATATTAGTTGTAGTAACTCCAGTGTTTTCCTGCCCATTATCCAGCTGTACAAGGTAAACGAGAAGGCACTGCCCTATAACTAACTCTAATAGTGGCTGGTAATTCTTACTCAGTTTACTGTGAAATACCATTAGTATCCTATTATATTCATCTGTTCGGCAGGACGGGCCACAGATATTTATATGATTTATATTGAATGATTTATAAATCACTGAATACAACTTATTAAAATAGGATTATGAAACTCAGACAATCTAATCAAAATTATATGCTTTACGTAAGGGTGTTGGTAAAGTAGATTTTGCAGAGAAATATTTGTCAGGGTAAGCAATGTAATAATTGTATTGGTGGGGCACACGAAGGTGTGATGATTACATTGACGGTTCACTGATTTGCAGGTTGCACCATAATTTATAACATACCCTCGGATGTATCACGTGGGTAGGTGTGTACCAGTCACTTGGGTAGGTGTGTACCAGTCACGTCGCGTGGGTAGGTGTGTAACAGTCGCGTGGGTAGGTGTGTAACAGTAGGTGAGAAATTCAACCACAAATAAAGTAAAGTAGTGGTGGTAAGAATTAATTTGAATACTATAAATAGCAGCATTGTTTGATTTTGAGTTAACTGAATTGTATGATTAATCATTGTACAAATTCCGAGGAGAAATTTATTTGAAGAAAGGGTTTTGCTCCACGTGGTTGATTTTACGTCACATTCGTGTAAAACATTAGCCGATTCAAGTACGGGATGCATGCAATTTCCTCCATATAACCGACCACAATGTAATCTCATAATTTAATATTGGTACGTGAAATATTCCTTATCGCTAATACTGTAATGACGTTAAACATTTAAAAGAAAAATCTAGATAGAATTATTGAATATCAAAGAAATTCGATTCCAACAGCCAGAATTATTAAAACGTCATTATTGATTAGAAGTCTTGGAATACCTGCAAGATTATGGCTTAGATAGGTGCGTGAAACTCGGCATGGGGGAAAGAGAAATTACATAAATGTTTATTTATTTCTATGAACCAACTACATGATCTAACCTTAAGGTTTTTGTCTCTTGAATGAATTCGGAGATCGTATTTGGGGACCCAGCCTGCATCGTTAACCACATAACTAACAAAGAGCTTCACCTCCTCCGTGTCGTACGCTTCTATCAGTATCTGTACCTCTCTGGGAAGGAGATTGTCTGAGATCTATCAAGGGCCCGGGTCCTAACAATACGTTACATATTCAAGGTTTAAAATTAAATGTAAGTAATATCAGGCGCAGTTTCACTGCTGATGTGATAACAGCTATCAGATGTGATGTAGCAGCTAACAATTATTACGCTTATTATACCTGCTTATGATTCCATCCTTAGCTGGATCTGTTGCGTTTATTTCATTCGTGACCTCTTTTAGTTTCTTATCCAATGATAATCTCAGCTCTTTCACTTCGGATAGGTTATCACTGATTTTGGCTGACTGCTCTTCATACATTGGGAGGAACTTAGATACCATATCCAAAGATGATATACTAACTGCATCAAAACCGTCCTAAAAAGATGTTGCGTTTAAAATAGAAGTCAAGGAATAAGGTTAAGTTACGTCATAAGTACATTTAATGAATTAAAACAGAATAACGGTTTAAATCGGTATACAAAATTGAACAAAGGTAAGATTTTTAATAATTTAATATAAACCTGAGGATTTGATTTGAAGTTGATTATTCTGTTAGCAAATGCCTCCAGCACGTCTTTCTGTTTCTTTAACGTATTTTCTTTCACATCCAGATCATTGAACTCCTGCCGATATAATTCAATTGATTCACGTCGTGCCTCCTGTGGTTGTTGGTCGAGTGTCTTAGTCAGGTCAGTCAGGTATGTTACCCCCAAGTAGTTATTTAAACTGTCTGCATGTTAATGTCATGATAAAACTGCTGCTCAATAATATAGAATAATTTTTTCGGGTCATTTGTTATGACTTTCAAAACTGAACAATTTGGTACCTTCAAAAGTTCAGCTTGTTTGATTTTGAGGTCATCAAGTTGCCCGCTAGCTTCAACATTTTCGTCCAAGGCACTTTTTGCCACGAAGTTGACTTCATTCAGTATTGAGTTGCCTCCTATCAGTACCCTGTTAATTGTTATCAACATTAAAATCAATACGTTATCAACGTATAAAATTAACAAGTGGATCGAATGAGAACTTGATTACATTATTAATCATGATAACTTCTTATTCTCATTCTAGAAACATATTTTATTACCTTAAAGTAGATGGCTCGATGCTCTTTGACAAATTGGTCATATTGATTTGAGATAACCCCTCTGTTACTTCAACATTGATTCTCCTTGTAATCTGAAGCAAGTTTCTATATTATGTTAAGTTACAAACATGATCATGAGTTATGATACATTTACTGTTCACTTTTTAGAGTAGATTGAAAATACCGTATTATAATTACACAAATTTAGTCCAACCTTAATAGGAGTTTATCAAGCATGTATAATAATTACATATACACAAACCTCAGCTTTGTCAGGATAGACTACCACGTTAAGAATAGGGCATGTTGATGCATCAAAACTAGGTATCTTCTGGATCTCCATTGGAGCAACCACCGACTTTTGAGAAGGAGTTGACTTTATTGACATGGTGAATGGCACAATAGCACCTACTGTAGTAGTTTTTTGTTAATCTTTGAATCATTTGATAATTAGAGTCCAAAATTATGAACCAATCAAACACAACGTGAGATTGTGGGATGTAAATAACTCTATGACATGTTGTCTCTCCTTCCACACAAACTCTCATAGTTCTATTAGAAACAAAGTCTGTGATTACATTTAAAACACTGCAACACTGGTAAAACGTGAAAGGAGTCAATTAAATAGGGTTTGCATCATGGAATTAAATATTCTTCTGTTTTTAAGGCTATCAGCACATTAGTATTGAAAATCAGCCAGCATTGGTTTTATTTAACAAAATCATGGTAACATTTAGTGAAACAAGTTTTAGTGAAAGAACAGTTGTGGCTGTGCTCTGGTGTAGGAAATTGTATACGGTTACTAATCACTAATCATAGGATAATGTTTTTTTTGGGAAGTTTTTAAAATAGGATAATGTTTTTGATGAAATTGTTTTTAAATATTGTATTTGATAAATAATTAATGTTGGTGGGGAAATATTTATTATATATTTTTTCACACAGTGCGATGATATTTTGTAGACATGTGTGATGATGTGATGTCATAAATTGTACTTTACTTTACTTTACTTTTAGGGATTAGATAGAGGACAAGACATGTTTAATGGCACTATTTCAAAGACATTTTTTAAACAGTAAAAAAGTATTCAAACACTATACACATATATCACAATGACCTATATAAAATCAAAAATTCTGTACATTCCCCATCTAAAATATTGGCAGAAAAATTTGAAATTTGCCCTTGGCCTTGTGGCTCCAACTTCAAATCTAGACTCTCTATATTTACAAATTTCTTTCTCGGACCTCTGCCTCCCCAGAGAGAAATCATTGTTGTTCTAAGGATTTTGAATTGGAGACGCTATTCCACAGAAATTACATCTTCGTTCTCTAGTCATTACTTTCCCCTAGTATACTCATAGTATTGTATTCAAACAAAAGGGAGTTCAAGTAGTATGACACAGATGTACAAATGTCGGATAAAAGCACAAAGGCGGTAGAAACATCCCATAGCTAACCAAAGTCATTTAAATTCTCAATACTTCAATCATGACCAATTTCGAGTATCAAATTATGCCCGGAATTACTACTTAAGAGCGATACCAACAATACTGAACTTCTATAAGTTTGATTTGACCAAACTAATGCCTTTCATTGCTTTATAAGTAATAACAAAAAAACTTAACAAATGAATAGAAGGACAACTTGACTATGTCAACTTCAAACCCTACCACAAATTTGATTTGACCAGCTGTTTCAAACAGTGTTTGCATCAAACATCAAATCTATTAGTATTCAGTATTCAGTATTCAGTATTCAGTATTCAATATTCAATATTCAGTATTCAGTATTCAGTATTCAGGATCCGTTGAGGGTGTAGAGTTGTCCCTTGCATCTGTCGTTCTTCTTCACGCACCTCCAAGCCTGTCGTCCATCCAGAGTCGGCTTTCCATCTTTGGAGTAGCGGAAACCACGGTGTAGAAGGTTCTGACTCTTAGCAGTTCTCCCTCTGACCACCTTCACCGTATCTTCATCGAACATCGTAATTGTAGCTGTTTTACTCAAGTTGTAGTGTTGCAGTACTGGAGAGTGGAGATGGTAGTGCTAATGAGATAATCTCCTCAACTTTGATCCGCTTTATATACTGTTTGCCTCTATCATTATCTACGTTTCACTGAGCAACCTCTCTTCTTGGCTACGGTTGATCAGATTCCTGGATGCGATCCCTCGTGACGTGTTCTCATGCCCTTGTTATTACCCATTGCATCTCGGCGCAGTGATATGAGATCTCACCGTAACAAGCTCATCGTGCACTCGCTTAACCACCGTTGTGCAGACCGGACGCGATCTGATACGAACCAGAAAGTGGAACAAGAACTGCTCTTAGTAATCACAATGTATATGTTAAACTTTATCCAATTTAATTTTAATTAAAATTAATTTCGAAGTAACAAAGAGGAAAATATACCTTTTTAAAGCTAATCGATTTTGTTATATTAGCAGTATAATTGTATAATTAGCAGTGCTAGCTCTATCTTAGTATCTTATAGGTACAGTTTCTAGTAGTAGTAGTAGTACCGCCGTACTGTCCAAAGTAAAGTGGGTGTCATGTGATCCGCCGTACCGTCCAACCTTTTTGGAAACTACTGCCGTACCGTCCTCCGCTGTACCGTCCTCCGCCGGACTGTACACCGCCGCAGTGACTTCCGCCGCTGCGTCCTATACCCTAAACGACTTGTGCTGTGTGAGTTTTAATACTTTCAACACTACTATATAACAAATAATTTGAGATTATGTGACTGATTAAATGCTGAAGATAAAAGAAATATATTCATTTTGCTAAGATTATGTTTGCGTTTCATTGCTCAACAGCTGTTCGAAGGATCAAATTTAAGATGTGCTGTGTAATGAATGTGTTAAGTTAATACATCTGGTATAACGTTAAATAAAATTGATCTGGAGGTCAGCTGATGTAAAAACGGTCACGTGACTCATCCAGCTCCACAAAACAACCTCATATAGAGCTGTGGAGAACTGGTCACATGGTTTCACGGAACAAGGCACAGCATCTGTTTGTTTAGCGGAGTCGTTTGATTGATACATGGTGTAGTTTGCTTCAACTTCAGCCGCTGCCAACCTCCAGACAGGACGTTTGTAAATAGGGGTCTTCTTGACACGTGTTCTTTTCTTCTCTGGTGCTGAACTTCTGTTACCGGTATCAACAGTGGCAAGTGGATTTGTAGCAGCATTGCTGGTAGAAGGTTGATCACGGGAAGTAGCTCAGTAAGGATAATCGGTGAGCTGGAGCCAGGGTCTGGCGAATCAGGCACTGATGCTGGTCTGTTCTCGGGTAAATTAATAACAACAACAAGGTTATCTTCATCTGCGTCAGCTGCTCGCGGCTGTTTACCCTTCCTTACTTTTTTGTGTTTAACCCTCCGCATACCTACGTTATTTTAATAACAATATAATTTACAACAATGTATATCGACAAGATTTGACAAGATTTGAATCATCAATTAATTGATTTCATGGGACCTTACCCTTTCTTACTCCGTTTATAACATGGATTGTTGAAGGTGCATCTTCAAATTCAAATGGTGACGGCACAGCGCAATTATACTTCCTACGAAGTTACACCCTCCTCCCCTATAATCGTTCTGACCTATAATCGAATGATAATTCGATGAAACTATCCATTTCTTGGGACCTAGGCCGGGACAAAATCACCACCTCCTGTGTTTGGGGTATTATTTAGGGTAAGGTAACTTTAATTGGTTTTAATTAATTTCCTGAGTTTGACAGCTAAATAAATTTTGCACTATCGAATTGGAAATCGATAGAATTGAGGATAGCTCGAGTATGAATGCATTTGGTCTATTGATTGTGAAGTTATATTGTGCTAAAGTCGTCAGAGGGCACAAATGCCACTCACTGTTCCAAATACTTAACTGTTAAAAAGGGCATGGTAACTGCAAGATTCTGTGATCAGTATTCACTGAAAGTGATCAGATCGTCATTACCCAACATGCTCCGCACCACGTTATGAGGCTCATTCACATTGTTGCATGCTAGTGAATATAGTTCCTGATGAGTTAATTTCGTTTCCTTTCTGTTGATACCTTGTTATTACTGCTTATAGGTTTGTTAACTACATTACTGCAACCTCCAGATAGGATATAGAATTATACAGCTCAACTCTGGTAAATTTACTGCGCCTTAGTAATCGGTTTAGAGCTGCAGATCTCTTTACTTTCTTTACTCTCTTTATAAAAATCAACTTATAAGGACACAAATTCCATAAATTGATATGGCCATGGCAGAATTCACAAAAAACTGCTAGTATTCACGAGTCTTCTGTGTTTTATTTGCGATCTCCATAATTCCAGATTTCTGCTGTATTTACTCATACTTACACTTATTTTAGTAACAAGAATTGCGCCCGTTGTTTCGTTTTATTTTGGCGGACGCTAGATTTCCATTTCACATTTACTATAAATTTAAGTATAAGCTCCAATCAGCTCACTTCAATCTTCATGATAATAATATTGATAAATTATGCATCAAATACGGGAAACACTTGAAATTCAGTTCAATTGCCGTAGAACTTAACTTGTATCTGTAATTCAAGAAATTATACTATCAGCAAAGGTAAACTACACTCGTGTACACATCAATACACTACGCGTGCCACGTACAAATTGGGCGTATTACCTAATAGTAATATTTTACATTACATGCATCATATACATGAAAACACAGTCGCGCCGCGCATTCATAGATCAAAGGCTATCTATACATCACATCTCCGCAAGCAATCCTCGCGCGCGCGCAACTTTTTCGTTGCATGGTAACTAACGAAAGGACTGACGACATATTTAAACCCACCTATCTCGTTCTCCAAAATCCACGTTTTTCTGCCAAAACCTCCATTCGTAACCTTTCACTATTGCCTTTTTTCAAAAGGGTGAAAAGGAAAAAATGACTGATTGAATCCATAATCATATTGATATTAACTGATTCCTTTTTCATAAATAGGCTCAGCGTGTGAAAATGCGTTAAAATGCGTTACACATAATTTACGTTATTTGTGTTAGTATAGTGTATACTACAGTAAAACCCAAATTAACCGCGGGTTTGGGGAAGTAATTTAAGTCCTTTGTTTGGTTAAGAGACACTGGCAGCGGTCCACTTTACCCGTGAATATGGGTTTTGGTCAAATGACTAATTTAGTTTTCTTAAAGCATTTTGTTGAATATTTCCGATCATTGATCCTCGATTCCTCAAATATAGAGACACAGCTGTGCCGAAATAAACATTTCGACCCTTGTCCTTCACCAACAAAATACTTAATAATAATATGTCCTTACCCGCTGCATCCTTACTTAATATCATTGAATTTACAGTTAATTTTACCAATATTACATTACTACCCCGTCACAACACAACAATGTAGATAATATCGAGACGCGGAAATGAAAATTCTAGTTCCAACAAATCACGCCCGGTACACCCCCGCGGTCACCAACAAATCACGCCTGGTACACCCCCGGTCACAAACAAATCACGCCTGGTACACCCTTCGGTCACTAACAAATCACGCCTGGTACACCCCCGGTCACCAACAAATCACGCCTGGTACAACCCCCGGTCACCAACAAATCACGCCTGGTACACCCTCGGTCACCAACAAATCACGACTGGTACACCCCCGGTCACCAACAAATCACCCCCGGTATTTGCTTTGATTCGCGGCTATCATCGCGTTTTTTATACTCCGTCAGGTTTTGTATACCCCTCGATAATGTTTAATTCGATTGACCACCTCAATAGTTCACATTCTTCATTATATTGGATAATGATTAGGAATATAATTAAAGGCTGTCCCCCACCGCTTGTATCTTTGAAGGGGTAAGCGTGTGTTATAATGTGTGACGTGTGTGTGTGTTCGTGAGTTGCCGAAATTAATTGTGTGTTTCTTTTGTGTATACGAGTACCCTTAACTTGATGTTGTTCATCACAATACTTTGTTTGTTCTCAATCTGTAATTAGTTGTAAGCAACGTCTGTTCGTTATATTTTAATCTTTATTTGTAGCCAATGATGTACAACATGAATGTTTTTGTAATAGTTATTGCATTTGTTGCCAGTCTGGCAACCTAACTATTCGATGATTTACAGAAATATGACTGATCTTTAAGCAGCATCACGCAGTTTTATTTAGTATCGCATTCTACCAACATTGGTATACCTACTTTAAATTCGTTTGTATATTTGGAACCTCTCGTTATTAGGGTAGTGTTTTATATCAACAGTGGAATTTAAATAATGCCCTTTGACAAAACACAAGTTAAAAATTATGCAGGTAGGTAGACAAGTTTTGGTGCCTTCCGCGTCACAAGTTTACTTTATCGGTTCTTCAAGTCATTGATCTCGAGCAAAATAAATTCGATTGTAATATAAAGCAGATCAAGGTCACCGCAATACATCGAGGACCGGAATTTTTCAAATAACTTCACAACTCAAAAGCTCTTAACTTTCGTCTGATGATGAAATAGTCACGCGTATTATATAAACCCTAGTGCATATTTGGAGGAGAGCTTACTTATAACTTATGAATACCTTACTCGGGAATATTATAACCGGGATAAAGTGGTGGGTTTTGGAAGATTCCGCCATATTTTTCCCGATCAAAAATTTTACCAGTCATAAAAAAACCCGCCGACTCAGATTATGGTGTTCCAAGGGGGTGGTGATCATCATATTTTACCTGAAGTCTCATATGTGCTAGAGAAGACTTTTGAAGCAGTGGATGGAGGGCTGTAACTTTATTGGCGGTTGCTACCATAATTTCGTTATAAAAATCACAATTTGGTTATAGAAATCAGATTTCAGGGTGGACCGTGATTCTCACTTCTCTTGCCCATGAATCAGTGAATCGTAGAGAAGAAAACAATTTATATGTTATAGAAGAAAACGAAAATAATAATAATATATGGACACGTTCATTTGAGTTTGAGGATATTGGTAAACAAAAATAATAGCGTTTTTGACGATAGTGGCTTAATTTTGACATCTATTAACCTAGCACGTTCAGAAGTTCTGAACATTAGCCACGTAACCCATACTCCCATATGCACCGCTCAGAAAGAAAATCTATTGTTGTTAGGCACTATAATGTTTCAAATGTCACATTTTGTGTGACTTAGTTAACTGCAGTTGTCTAATTATCATTCCTTGGTCTGAAATATAGTAAATTAGGTCAATCTAACAATTATGATACAACATTGGTTAATGGGCACGGATCGAACGGTTACAAGGCAATATTTGGGTAACTTTGTCACACTCATGATACCATACCTCTATTCGACTATTCTACTGTGAGGTGTCCTAAAAACCCTTTCAACTCATTATTTGATGGTTGCTCTACCAATCATAGCCCTAAAATATGTTGTTTTGAATAGTTAGCTAATACAGGCACTCGGTTATTGGGAAATGAGGTTAATTCTGTCACAATATATGGAATTTAAAATTTTGGGCGAATTATTTATATCTGATTTTGGTTTGAAAGGCGGGAAAGTTTTATATGATGACAATGTAGTTGATGCAAGTTAAGATCAGTTGATGTTAACATTGTCACAAAAAATTATGCGAAATCGTAAATAGATTAAAAACAATGATTATAGAATGAAATAGTCTCTTATAATAACTCTTATAATAACTCTTATAATAACTCTTATAATAACTCTTATAATAACTCTTATAATAACTCTTATAATAACTCTTATAATAACTC